GCCCCCCGCGGAGGGCCCGCCCCTCCCCAGCGAGGGCCCGCCCCTCCCCAGCGAGGGCCCGCCCCTCCCGGCGGCTCACCCAGGTCGGCGATGCAGCACTGCAGGTTGCTCTTGACCAGCACGTTGCGGCTCTTGAGGTCGCGGTGGGCGATGGCCGGCTTGCCCTGCGTGCCGAAGATCTCCACGTGCAGGTGCGCCAGGCCGCAGGCCGCGGACACCGCTAGCCTCAGGGCCAGCTGGGGCTCCAGCGTCTGCCTCTGCAGAAAGTCGTAGAGCGAGCCGTGCTCGTGGTAGTGCGTGATGAGCCACAGCTGCGTGCTCGAGTTGCGGGAGGTCATGTCGGAGGCGATAAAGCCTGTGGGCCAAGGGGCAGGGGGCTCACCAAGGGGCTAGGGATGAAGGAGGCTGAATGGGTCAGGGTCAGGGCTGGGGTTGGGGACAAAGGACGGACTAGGTGAGAGAAAAGCTGGGGCTGGGGTGGAGGCTGGTCTGGCTTAGGTCAGAGAGGAAGCTGGAGTCAGCGGTTGGGGCAGAGGGCCGGCTGGGTCCTCGAGTGTTAGGTCAGCTTCCAGAGGGGTGTGGTGGTGGTCCGGCCAGAGTGCGGGGGGATGAGAGCTGGGGTCCGGGCCTAGCCACCCCACTCCCACCCCAGCCTTGCCTAGGATGTTGTCGTGTCTGAGCAACACTGTGTTGTAGATCTCAGTCTCCCGGAACCAGGACTGCTCATCCCTCGAGGAGAAGATCTTGACAGCCACACTCTCACCATGCCACAGGCCCCGCCACACCTCACCATAGCGGCCCTTTCCTGATCCAGAAGAGGAGGGGGAGGGTTACATGCTGGGCACATGGAGCCCTTGGGCACAGTAATCCCCAGAAAAGCCCCCTACTGTGATGCTGCACTGACTCCATCTGCAGAACCTCCCTGATGCTTATGTTTAACTTAATCCAGACCCAAACGTAGCTGGCAGGCCACCCCCGTTTGCCTCTTGTTCCACCCCAGCTCTGGCAGAAGGATCTGGCACTGATCCATCTCCAACCTACTCCCCACCCAGCAGAATTCCCATTCAGACCCATTCTTGGCCTGTGACTCCGGAGGCCAAGACCTCCCTCACCCCTCCAAGCTCATGGAAGCTCTTGGTTCCCATGCCCCAGGCTCACCCACTGCTCACCGACACACTCCACCAGGGCAACCTGCCGTGCCACTGTCCTCTGCACCAGGAAGGGGAGCCCTGAGCCACTGCCCGTGGTGCAGTCACTGTCCAGGAGGTCCTGGGGGTACCGAGAGGCCACTGAGGCAGCACACACCCACCCAGCCCATTTCCCCCTCCTCAACCTGGGCCCCACGGCTGTGTCTCTCCACATTCCTCACTCACCCACCCCTCCCCTCCAGTGCCCAATCAAATCTCTGAGTGTCTGCGATTGTACCTTTCTCGGCTACCTGCCACTCTGTACCCCTCTGATTCTATGGCTCCTGTCCCCCTCCCACCACCCTGTGTCCAGGTTCCCCCAGGCCCATACCCCCAACATGCTGTCCCCCGGTTCGGATGCCTTCAGGATGAGACTGGACTCGCCCAGCTCATTGTTCAGACCCCGATGCTTCTCCTGCCTCCGCCGGATGTGCCACAGGCCCAGGGCACCCAGGGCCACAAGGGCCAGCAAGGCCAGCACGGGGCCCAGGATCAGAGGCAGCTGGCCATCTTCTTGTGGCTGTTCCGGAGGAGTTCGGGTGGCTGGCGAAGGAGGGACACAGAGGCCCAGCTTCCACCAGGCCAGATGCCCCCCACCTTGCCACTCTGCCAGTCAGATCCCAGGGTCCTTCCTCCCCCACCCTCCAGACCAGAGCAGGAGAGGCAGGCAGGGCAGGGAGGGCGGAGTCTGAGAGGAGGGGGCGGGGCTTCTGGGCAGCAGGACATACCCTCCAGCACCAGGGACACGTTTTGGTTGCAGAGGGGGCTGTAGCAGCAGTAGTGGTTGACGAACTCGGTGGGGCGCCCCCTGCAGAGCTCCTGGTGCAGATTCCCGCAGCCTCGATGTTCCTGGGGGTGTCTGCCCTCCTCCCGCACCAGCACTACCGTGCACCAGGCCCCCTGGCAGGTAGGCCCCTTGCAGTGTGGGTTCTCACACGTGCAGGTCACCAGTGGGCCCCGAGAGGGCTTCACGGGGTCACCTGGGAGACACACTGGAAGCTCAGCCACTCTGGGCCCAGGTCCCCAGGAGGAGCCTCACACCTAAGTCTGTCCACTGCTCCCTCCCTTCTGAGCTCTCAAACAAACCCTTTGAGGCCTTGGTCCTGTAGTTTCATCTTCAGATTATCCTTCCCTCTAGTCCCTTATCCTTGCCAGGGGCAGCTGACAGTGTGAGAACCAGGCTTCTGTCCCCTCCCTGATCCTAGGACCTCCCTTCCCAGTTCCAGGTCCAGCCTTGACTCCCAGCCCCAACTCTGAGGGTTCTCCCAGGCCCTCCCTACCAACATCCCCAGATAGAGGCATCTGACAGAGCACGGGCCTGTGGGTTTGGATCAAGAGGACAGCACAGGAGGGTTGAGGC